TGGGCTTCAGACTTTGCTTGCTGGGTTTCTCTTGCTTTCTTTCTGCTTTTGTTGCTTGACTGAGCGTGTTTTTTTTTTCTCTCGTCGCCAGTGTAACAACCGCGAGTCTTTCTCTAGATAAATACCGTTTAATGACCAGAACACTTCGCCGACTACATCTGACAACGTGGCACTATAAGCGATGTATGCGCATGTGCAAAACTGAACTATATTGGAATTGTCGGAATGATGGACTGGATATTACAATATTAAATATTAACGGCCAAGCACGCTGCCTTGTGGGACTCCGCTGTGATTTCTTTCCAGTTTGAGAACTGATCGCCTAATCTGACCCGCTGACGTCGGTTAGTGAGATAGTCATGAATCAGATCTGTGGTTTTATCGTTAGCTTCATAGAACTTGAGTTTTTCCACCATTAGTTCGTGTGGCAAGGTGTCAAATGCCTTGGAAAGGTCCATTGACACAATTCCGATGACATTGTGTTGATCGAGTTCCTTCCTCCACTGTTCTGTGAGGCTGAGAATAGCAGTATCAGTTCCGTCATTTTTCCTGTATGCGAATACGTGTTCGTGCAAAATGTCTTCGAAATAACGGCTAATTCTGTGATGTGTTAGCGTTTCGAAGATTTTCGACAGGGACGGTAGAATAGTTAATTAACGGTCTGTAAATTGATTTCGTTAGGCAACAATCCTTCTTGAAAACTGGTGAGACTTGACCAAGTTTCCATTGTTGAGGTATCCTGGAATTCTCCAGGATGTAGTTAAAAAGTTCGCTGAAAGGGTAGCATAGCATTTCGGTTGATTCGTTGATTGCTCTTGGTGGAATATTATCAGAGCCCTTTGCCTTGTTCCTTTTGGCTTTCAACATCGCTTCTTTTGCTTCAACTAGACTCCTCCTTTAATAGGATTAGAGCAGATTTTTCATACCTTTCACTCGGTTTACAGTTCGTGCGCCCTACACGAAGCAGTTACATCCGGATTCATCGTTCGGATGGCAAGGTTGTGTTCAGCGTCGATGTTGCCATCACAGCCGCTGTGTTGTATCCAGTTGGGAGCCTGGGGAGGTCAATTGAGTTCACGACTTCAGTGGAATTCACCGAGAAAGAGATGTACTATGTAACGATGGACCCAGGTATTATTAAAATAGGAATCTTTTGTGAAACCTACAAGCGTAGCAATATTACTATGGTAGTTAATGCCCTTTTATTACATAAGCAGGAAGTTGAACACCGCAGGAACTAATCTCCCAGTAGCTTTTAAATTATTGCACCGGTCACCAACTTATGAAATTGCTATGCAAGTGTTGGCGGGCGCCCCGATACAGAACAAGAAACGGGTACGAACAGTAAACTACATATTTAGAGTGAACAAAAGTGAAAAAAATCTACTATTAGCTTGTAAAAGTACAAGGGGGCTTTAAAATCTCTCGCCTTCAGCTGTGATTTCTTTTAAATTCTGCTCGTACTTATTTCGACATTTTGCCTCGGTTATTTAGCTAACAAACCATCGTAAATGCCACAAAATCGTGATATTTAAACCTGTGCACCACTTCGTCGTTCTCTCGTAGGTATTGCTAAAGGTGTTGTTCGCTGTGGAGCAGAGTCACAGTCAATCAGAGACCCCAACACATGGAGCATTAAAATAAGTAAGGGTCTCCTTTACAATATGTCACCCTTTACTGGCAACAAATTTAATGTTTTAGTTTGTATCATCAGCCTCACTGGATTAGCCGAGTAAAGCCACGACACGAGGAGTATAAGGAGAGCGCATTCTCCTCGAAGTAAGAAGAGACGCTCACCAGACTAGTCTCACCTTCCTCTTGATTCTCTTCTCCCATGCGCAAAAATTTGCAAACTGGTGACTCTTTTTACTCTCGACTCTCGACTCTCGACTCTTGACATTTAGCTGTTCAATGTCGCATTCAAACGTTTTTATAGGTCCCCCAGTGTCTAAACCTTCAAAGATGAAAATTATTCATTCAGTCACTTTTGAGAGATCAACATTGTAAGGTGAGGAGGAGGGTCGGTCTGGTGAGGGGAGGGGGTTAAAAGGAACGAAAGGAAGAATTATTTTAACCGTGTCAACACTCTTGTTCACGGTCGTTGTTCACGGTCAACTTTAAAGGTATTAATCAGCAAATTTCTTGCTATTTCACAGAGGATGTCACCTCGCCCGTGTTAAGCTTTGTGAATGCCCCATCACGCTCCGGCGGTGACGTTGAAATCACGTGGACAGCAAACGAGAACGTCACGGCTCAGTGTACATTGCAAACTCCTTCCCAGATCACTGGTCAACAGTGCAATATGTCGTGGACTGGAACCAATCTGACAGAAGGCTACTACAGCATTTATGTTCAGGTTACAGATTTGGCGGGGAACGCAGCGCCTCCGGTCAGGCACTCGTGGTTTGTCGGTACGTCATTATAAGTAATGTACTAGTGACTTCAATCATACAATCCGTGAAATTGCTAGGTGCTTTCGGTTGGTTACGTTTACAAGGACTAGAAAAGCTGATCATGTTATTTTGCTCGTAAGTTGAGTTACCATATAAATTCGATTTAGCGCTAGGATTGATTATTGAATTAAGAAAGAAAGAACCAATTAGAACGCTCACATTTTCCTTAAGACTACCTAGCCATAAAATACGAGGACTTATTTTCTTGTGTTTAATCTGTTTTATTTTTTTCAGACCGCACACCACCCCAAGTTATCATCACGTCCAAACCTGCTTCGCTAAGCAATCAAGGGTCGTTCACGTTTCGCTTTTACTGTCAAGACACCTGCTCGCTTGAATGTACGGTAGAACTACAAGGCAATATTCCTGTTTATTCACAATGCAACACCAAACGTTACACGAAGAGTAATCTGCAAAACGGAAAGGCCTACGTGTTCGGAGTACGAGGCACGGATGATGTGGGTAACCAAGGCAACCCTGTGACGTATACGTGGAAAGTTGGTAAGCAAAGACTCTTGGTTTACCAAACGTTATTACATTTTTCGTAACAACGACGAAATCGAATTTTCTCAAGACATAACTGAGAGTAGTTTTCTGATTAATTTCAGTTCATTAGTACTAAAATTCCTTCCCTATGAGATGTAATGTAATGCAATTTTCTATTTATCGTGCC